ATCGTGTCATTCGAAGTTTGTTTTTTATTTTAAACTACTGACAGCTTTGTTAAGTACATCGAAAGTAAATAAAGAGAGAGGTAGATTATTGATTGGTAGACGGTCCTGCACCATACGCTGAGCCCTTACAAAATTAAGTGAAAATGGCAGAGTCCAGTTTGCAAGATATCATTAAAAAGCAGATGGCAAGACAGAAGAGAATTAAAGATGTAATATTTGATTTTTTTTTTGTATTAGCGTAGCTCTGGATGAAATATGGAGGACATCTCTTGACCGCAAGAACACGGTGTTCAGCGGAAAGAATAGAGGCTTCACGAAATCCATGTTTAGATTGACGTTCACGTTGATGGCTACAAGTAATGAAGGAGACAGACTTTATATTCCTTTTATCTCAGCATCAGATGTCAAAAAGTATTTGTGAATTTTTGAGATTTCGGGTTCTCACGGCGGCGAGTATGAAGTGTAGCCTCGTAGAAGTTCACCGACGTTTCGGAGGCTCTTGCTGCCTCCATCATCAGGGTAATCGCCAGAATACACATCGCAACAACCGAGAAGACATCAGTTTCATATCCCATTCTGTACTAAAATCTGTTATTTGCGGGGTTTATAGTAATTTTTGTGTCTTTGAAACACGCTAAATTATAACTGTGTTAGCAATGAGGTCACCTACACGTAAACGACGACAACTGAAATTTTCCCCGGGCATCCACCCGTTTGAAACAGTCTGACCCCTCCCAGGGATCCGAAAGGATGCTTCTGTCAGCGTTTCTGGAAACGTTCAGATCTTGAGTGTAGTACTGAAGCACCGACACGCCTTTGGAGAGGAAACAGAAGTCTGCAAGTGCGTCGTAAAATTTCTAGTGTGAAGGATAGAAACCACAACGTCATAAATGTTATGAGCGAGTGGTGACGTCGCTTCGTCATTGCAGTTTCTTCCCGAGGGGATTATTGGTCGTTCCTTTTCACTGCCATCTCTGCAGCTCTTTGGTTTGTTGGCCAACCATTTTGTCCATACGTGAAGCTATAATATCAATCGAACATGTTCGAAGTGCCAAGTTGTGTTGTAAAATAAAATATATACATTTATTACTGTAATTTAAATTATTAATAACGGACTTTTGAGTGCTATCGTGCGGTTGGGATTGGTGTTATATGCAAAGTTTTTAAGCTATGCCAGGGCCTCCGAAACGTCCCCACTATGGTATTTACGAGGCGCGTCCTCAAAGTAAGTTTTCCTGGGGCCGTTTACAGAAACAAAACACAATTTCATGGAAATATTTATTGCAACAGATACAGCAAGTGTCCAGCTATTTTTCAACATATTCGCCACCGGAATTGAGACATTGGTCATACCGGGGGACCAACTTTTGAATCCCTGTGTCGTAGAAGGCTGCCGCCTGGGATTGGACCCACTGTGTGACAACCATCTCCGCCTCTCTGTCATTCTCAAAACGCTGACGCTGACCGGACAGGAATTTCTTGAGGTGTAGGAAAAGATGGAAATCACTGGGAGCGAGGTCCAGGTTGTAGGGTGAATGATTAAACACCTCCCAGCTGAACTCCTGCAGGAGACTGGCTGTCCGTCGAGCCGTGTGCGGCCGAGCGTTATCACTGACCGCACTTCACAGTCGGCGGGAGCTGGAATAAGAACCTCCATCTTCAACAGCTGCAACGATGCTACTGTGAGAACGCGGGAGGTGCCGTTAGTGCATGCGCCATGCTACGTCATTGCTCTATCACGTACGCACAGTCGCTTCGCGCAATATAAGGTTTGCTAGCTGTGGGACGAGTGGGAAACTTACTTTGAGGACACGCCTCGTAGAAGCGAGGGATTAGTGTAACTGTCTAGACTTGTATTTGCTTTGTACCGCGCTTAAATGCGGGGGAAATATTACTGGCTACAGGGATTAAGGATTTTCATGAGTTTACTCAGTATTTGTTTGAAAACAATAAATATTTAATGCTGTGTACATTGAATTTTTTTTTTAAGTTTTGAAGTTTTATTTTGTACCTAAACACACTCGCGCGTTTGCACATATTGAAATTGTCAGCGGAATTCGCGAAATGGAACTGAAGAGTAATTATTATTAATCATAACCCACTCACGTCTTATCCAGAAACCTTAGTGCGACGGAGTATTTAGAAAAAGTAAAATGTTAGGTGAAGATAAAGAATGTTTGTGGCTGTTGTGTCAGGAGTCTGAGTATTCGTGTCATGCAATATGGTAAATTTGCATCGTGTAACATTGACTTTATTTTGTAGGAAACATGGCAACAGAGATCATTCTTTCGTCTTTGTCGTTTCATATATGATGTAGCTGCTTTGATAGAAAAACCGATCTACACACGTCGAAATGTCTTTTAGATCCAAGAAAAATCCTCTCAAACCTTGCAGTAAAGAGTGGAGGATGAAGAATAAACATTCCGCGCTATTTACATGACATGCTTTTGTCCATGACATTCTGTACAGGCGTAAAACATGGTGGAGTCCATCTTTAGAAGCTAATATCTCGTAGTTAAACGCCACGGTGGTCTAGCGGTTAGAACGCTAGCCTTGTAATCCTGGGGTCTCGGGTTCGATTCCCGGCGGTGCCCGAATTTATAACTTGTGTTGGGCAAGGCCGTGGTCTAGGCAACACGGAGTTTTCCTCCGGGGGCTTCCCCGGTTTCTCCGTGGCATCCCATTCACACACAGAAGAAGGCAATGGCAAACCACTTATGGATCATCTGCCAAGAACGTATATGAACAGGTCCCAGTCCGAGAAAAGGATGGAAGGATCCTGTTCATATGGACCTGTCGTCAGACAGAACACTAAATAAAAAAAATCTCGTAGTTATTCAACAAAATTCCCGCCTGTTATGCAACTATAATATCCATTATCGTATTCACTAGTGTCACCATCGGAGCATACAATAAGCCAGTTGGACGTAGCACATAGACCTTACTGCTCGTTTGAGGTCCGTTTTAATATAATAGACTTTCATGCATTTCTGTAGAACTTAGATAACTTGTCTTCGCGTGCTTCCCTGGGTTGATCCAATTCTGGGAACGACATAAGGTATTTAGTTCTGAATATGATAATTTTAATGTGAATTGTTAGTTGTGTAACTCTGTAAAATGACAGGTTTATGACAAAGCGAATTGTGTTTCGGAATGACCCACTATAGTTTTGTCTGCATAATTTTTATTTTATTTTATCTACGCTGTATCTTTCAGCGCATTTGGGCCTTCTTTAGGTTCTCTACTTAAGAGTGAAGAAGCCTGTTGTGTGAACTTGTATTATCCAGTAAGTCTGCATGCCACGGTAAGTACTGTATATAAACAACAGATTATACAAATGGCTTCTTTAAACTTAAGTTTAAACTCCCGTAGATGGACCAATTTTGGCTGATACATACAATGCCGTTAAGATAAAGGTCCTGTGGGAGACTATTTTAATCGATTTTTATTAATTATTGTTTCTGTCTATCGATTCGTCCACTAAAAAACACCTGCCCTCAGTAAGATATTCTTACTTAAGTGATACTCCACTTTTTATACTTTTTATTACAGTTGCGAATTCAATTCAGTTTTTATGAATTGAATGTGTTCAGTTTTACCCTGTAGATATTAGCTACGGCATATTTAGGGGTTGCATGGGGTATGTAAATCAATACCCCACTGCTTACAAAGCAAAGCGCTGTTGCTACCACCCCCAACCAAGCCGAAACTGGGTACTATAGCAACCCTGTGAAACAATCCCTGGTGTTTGTTGCGGTTTGGTGGCGTTCGCAGGGCGTTAAGTCTGGTTACGAATAAATTAAAACACCTGTCTAGTTTTTAGTGGAGACTGAATAATTGGTTCCAAACAGACATGTTTATAGCGAAGTCCTTTGAAGTGAACATGCAAATCAGAAAGATAGGATGTTTCTACCTGTAGTCCGGTAGAAATTCGCTAACGTTTCGGAGGTGAATACTGCTTCCATCATCAGCAAGACTTTGAGCCTTCGATGTTGCTGTGGCACGAGTATTAAACATTATCTCATCAATTACAATGACTTGGCTAAAGGCTTTAAAAGGTGATGTCCGTTGCTTGAAGTATACTGATAGAAATAAACATCTTTGTTGACTCTTTCGTGTTTGTTTTTTAGTCTCCGATCTGGTAATTAGGTTACTTATCGCTTACATCAGTTTTCTATCAGAGTAACCGAAGCGATCTATGTCAGCTGTTTTCGTCGCTCAGCAACCGTTTAATTCTAAGCTAACCAAACCTGACCTAACATAACCCAACCTTACCTAACTTAACATAACCCCACCTGACCTTACCCAACCTTACTTCACCTTTCCTATCCTAACCGTAAATCGACCATTTTCCGACGCCACAGCGATAAATAGTAGAACGTCGGCCAACAGAAATACATATATATATACCGTTTGAAAATTGTAAGTGATTCGATCTTTGCTGTATAGTGCGAGGGCCGTGATAAAGTTGAGGTTTAGTGGTTGAAATCTCTCTCCAAAAACATCGCGATTGGCTCAAAGTGAATTTGTTTCTCTTTGATAAAACTAAGTGCAAATTAAACATTTAGTAACTTTTCTGTTATTTTCCTCCCCTCCTACACTTTAGAAATTAATTTGTAGACGTCGTACAATGCAGTGGGTATCAAACGTACCCCGTATTCGGGCTGTTTAGTTTGGTTCCGAAACAGAAGAGCATCGAAACAAATTATTATGTATAAAAATTCTGAGATTTCCATAAAATATTTCGCAGCTGTTTTCTGTCGTCCCTGTAATACCTGATGATACGTAATCACCCGACATCATGCAATTTTGTGTCCATCTGCAGATATACATTTATAAGAACACTTAAAATTATTAGTGTATTTAATTAATGAAAATCAAGATTACAATTTTAGAAAAAAATACGATTTTGGGAACATTGTGTGTAATATCTGTTAAATTAATTTATTTTTACATTTCTTTACACTGAATATTCAGGTCTATAATTATTTTCAGTCGAATTTCATTGAAGATCAGTGATCTGCTTTTTAAATTTCACTTTAAACCACCTATTTTTTTTTATAAATTTATAAATGATGTAGACTTTATAACTGCATAATCATAAATATTTTTAACCTATTATGTATATGTAATTCCATCAATATAAAACACAAGTTGGTTTCATCACACTGTCCTGTAAGTCTTTTGGGGCCCACACATCACCTTTCCATCCACAGGTACCGGGAATTCAGTCGATTTGATTGTAATTCTGATTCCTCACTTCTGAAGTACCGACGCCCTGTGGCGTCATATTTAGACAAAATCATTTCTACCCTACGTCGGGTTTTTCAGTGAACTACATGAACACTAAAGTTGGATGCATTGTTTCTTTTCTCTGTAAACGCATTTTGCAGAGCGTTGGGAGGTGAGAAATGTAGTCCTGTCGAAGATATATACAAAATGTTCGGTGACTTCAGGATCTTATTTACGAAGTCATTCCCAGTCAGAAATGTCATGAACGTGAGTTCGATTCTCAACGGTTACGGCTTTATATATATAAATCAAAGATGGTTTGAACGACACAAAACACCATCACAGATGTGCTTCCAGTGTGACGGGTCACCCCGCGTTTCGGTTGACACATGATGTCGTACTAGAGTCAGCTGTTCGCTGATCTTTGGATTGGTCGTGGTGTCCGCAGAGTTGGCCTCTACTGTCGCCGGACCTCGCTTCTATAGATTTCAGTGAAAAGCTTGGAGTATAAAAGCAAACTAAATTGAAGAGCGGAACATCAACGATTTTTCGCTGTTACAGGACACAGATGACTCTGATGTTCTACGACAGTCTCATATCGCCTTGAATTTCATACATCCGTATCTCCTTAACCGTTTAGAATCTGACATATGTTTATATGGGATTTCTGACTGGAAATAATTTTAAGTGATGACATTAAGTCACCGGATGTCTGTATAATATCGAAGGGAGCTAATTAATAAATTTTCCAACTATCCGACTACACTTTCGCTCATGTCGAAGGATGATATGATGGCGTTGACCACAGTCGACAGGGCTCCAAGAGCTAGCACGATGTTGTTCAGTATGGAAGCGGCTGTCTGATGGCCCTCTTCGCTAATGTTGTAGAGCGAACCCAGGACAACATTCATACATCCTCTTAGCAACTATAAAGGAAAATGGAAAATTTTATTTAATACATCACGCAGGTCCAACATGACGCTCTTACGCATGAAAAATCTAGATTGAATTTGAGGAAATTAAATAAATGTCTGTGGTCGAGGCTTTAATCCAGTCATAATTTGGTTAACATGCTACAAGATTTAAAGGCAACAAAAGCCTTCATCATCACTACAATAATCTCTGCTATGTTAAACACCACATCTTTTATAACCGTGTCCACCATAATATGCGTCATCGATACAGTAATTTTACCCACAATCAGCATAGATATTAACTAATGTTACGATAATTTTTACAATAGACTATACAAAGGTTTGGTCGGGGTAACCTTCGCGATTATGAGAGGATAATATTAAATTGTACATTTTATGAGGGTGTGAGCGTGGATACAACTGGCTGAGGGTAAAATCTAATGGCGGCTGTTGCAGTCATAATAATGAGCTTTATGAATACACAAATGTCGGATAAATTGGCTCCCTGAGCGCTGTCTGCTACATGGAGTTGAGTGTACACTTTATGCTTGTTACAGTGAGCGTGAGTGTTAACCGTGTTAGCCCAGCTAACATTTTGAAAAACGAAAAGTAAAAAGTATTCTGTCTTACTGATCTGGTTCGTTGGTACTCCATACACTGAAACACAGCAGAACTGATCATATAAAATTAATCGTTAACCAGGTTCAGACAGCCGGGCGCTCACCGCGAGCGTAGCACTCAACCAGCTGGCTAACAAAGTTTTTTATGTGTAAGTGTTTGATAAAAAGATTTGATTTTATCGGTCATCTATAGATCTTCGTCTGGATCACGGACCTTGCTTTCCAATCACTGGATTATGGTACAGAGATGTATGTAGTGATATGAGAACAAAAGTTTGAGTGATGTGGAACCGTTTGATGAATTATCTACCTTCATTAACAAAGAAGCTATTTTGTGAATTATCTAAGTACGATAGCTAATTGGAATAAGTCATAGATAAGCTCGTGATAAGCTGATGAAGATTTCCGTCATCTTAAGAATAATTAGACACGTGTTTTAACTCAAATTTGTATTTCCTTCAATTATAAAACTACCTGGTGACCAAATTTGGGGAATTGTCAATGTGGGAAGAGTGAGTTCCTAAAGGCCTCGCCACTAATAAACCCGTGATTATGAATCATGATCAATATAGCACAGCTTACTGAGATTCTGACGTTCTGCACGAGATTTTGTAGAAGCACGTCTGAAACGTCCGTAAACGTCTACCACACTACACGGCGCAACAATTCAGAAAATAGTCTTATTTATAAAAATAGACTGAGGAACGGATCAAATTATCCAGATCTGGCGATACGTCGGGTCGAATTAGGAATTTGCGTTGAAGCTACTGCTTTTGCTACCAAAGACCGTCTCTTGACTAAACTTCGTTCAAGAGCCTCGTTTCCACAACGCCATTCGCTCAGGTACAGATAGAAATCGGACGGAGTGCTTCAGGGCACGGCGCGCGGTTAGCACTCGTGAGTGTGGGTTAATTAGTGACAAGACTTGGCAGGATGGAGCTTTCAGAGTAGTCGTGCTTTCCTACATCTGCGGTTTCCAAGTTCCATCACCAGAAAGTTTTGTAAATAACACAAACAGTAATGGGAGCGAAGCACATGTAACTCTGGTTTATTTACTGTGATTTTCGACAATTCTCCTCCCGTGTTTCATTTACTAAATAGACGCAGTGTATAATATTTCATTGTATTTGCAGAGTTCGAAAGGAAATCGTGAAACTGAAAAGAACTTATTTGGGAGACATACGGGTATGGGAAAGTAATATTGACTTACGAGGTGCGATCGGAAGGTTTCCAGACTGCGCGTATAAAAACCCGTACACTTATCTCAGGTATTAAATTCATCCATCACCCTCGAAGTAGTTCCCCTGGGAGTGAACACAACGATCCCAGCGCCG